GAGGAGCATAGCACAGGGGAAACAGTCTGTGACAGGGTAGGCAGGAGGAGGAGCATAGCACAGGGGAAACAGTCTGTGACAGGGTAGGCAGGAGGTAGGATGCAGCAAGCCTGCTGCCTTCTTTCCCTTCACATTACAGCCAAGCTACCAGCCTATTGTTTGGGCCTTTCTGTTATCCATTCCCAGAACTAGGCTAAACTAGTAAGTGGGCTAATCTAGTTACAACACACCCATAATCATCCAGCTATCTCCCAAAGGCCCCACCTATGAGCACACAAGGTTTTGGGGGGCATCTAGATATAAACCATAGCACCCACTTTCATCCTCATCTTTCTTTCAAATTCCGCTCTTGGGGAGATCCAGCCTAAATAAAGACCAAAGACAAAAACAGATGCAACCATTTAGTTTTCCAAAGCTTTAATGATGGTCCCTGCCTTAAGAAGGCCCATTATGTTGCCAGGTGTGATGGTGCTGCCTGCCTGTAACCCCAGCACTTGAGAGGCTGAGGCAAGAGGATTGCCATGAGTTCGAGGCCATCCTAAGCTACATAGAGAGTTCAAGGCATACATAGTGAGGCCCTGTCTCAAGTAAAAGAAAACTCAGGCCCAGGCATGATGGTATATGCCTATAATCCCAGCACTTGGGAGACTGAGGCAGGAGGATCACTGTGAGTTTGAGGCCTGCCTGGACTACAGAGTGAGTTCAAAGCCAACCTGGGCTACATAATGAGACCCTGTCTCAAAAAAAAAAAAAAAAGTGAAAATAAAGTATCTATCTTAAAAATACATATAAATTAAGTAATTGTAGTCATTGCCAAAGATTCTTATTAAATACTTTGACCATACTAGTGATCTACCATATTTAAAATATGCTTTGATTTATGTACAATATTTCAAGAGAGTACACATCCAATGAAGTGTTGTCTACTTGCATTTTAACTTTATTTTTCGAGTCAGAGTCTTGCTATATTGCCCAGGCTATGGTGTTCCTGTGCAGCTGAGACAACAGGCACATGATGCCAGGTCTAGCTTACGTTTTAATTAACAAACAGCGAGGTAGGCATGCGGGTCACTCTGCAAGCTTCACCACTCCAAAGTGCGCCATGTGTGCTGAATGTGTGAAGGCGTCGAGGTAGGTGAAATAAGAGGGGCTTCAAAACAACCTCCAAATGCGAAGTAACCAAATCACAAACTATACAGTGGGTGTTTTATTGTTGTTGTTTGGGTTTTTGTTTTGGTTTGGTTTGGTTTGGTTTTTTGAGACAGGCTGTCACTTTTGCAGTCCAAGTCTGGCCTTGAATTGACTCTGTAGCTCCCGCTGGCCTTGAACACTCAGCAATCCTCCTGCCTCAGCCTGGTGATTGCCGAGATCACAGGCATATGCCATCGTGCCCAGCTATATACTGGGATTTATTCACATCCTAATGACTAGTATTCCCCTGCACTGATAGTCTCAAGTATATGCCAGCAAGTGTATAGGATAATATTTGAATATTGAATTTGTAAATATCTATGAATAGTACCAAGGTATTACTAGCCTACTTTGATAAAATGATAATTTGATTGCTTTTTAATAAAATTTAATATTATTGCATCTTGTCTAGTTTGGGAGATTTAAATTAAGATACAACATACTTTTGTAGGACTGGGGATATAGCTCAGCAGCACACCGCCTGCCTGGCAAGTGCAAGGTCCTGAGTTTGATTCCCAGTACCAAATTAACAATTATAATAATATTCTGTTTAAAGTAAATATTACCTTAGAAGTTTTCAAAGACATATGATCATAGAATCTTGTAATGAAAAAAGATCATCTGTTCTTCTCATTTTACTCATGGAAATCTGATCAAAACTTTTTCTAATTTTTTTTTTTTTTTTTTTACTTTAAAGGCATGGGAGAAGTTGCTGTTTGGAGTTTGTTTTTTCCACGCCCTTGTACAAGAGAGAAAGAAATTTGGTCCTCTTGGTTGGAATATCCCATATGGATTTAATGAATCAGATTTACGTATCAGTATCCGGCAACTACAGGTAAAATTGGAAAAAGAACTAACATTTATGAAGGATCAAATAGGCCCTAGGCATGTACCTTTGTTTAGAATAAATTATTCCATTTTTCCAGCACACCTAGTAGGTGGATAGATAGTTGTAATAACTATGGTTTATGAAATCCCACTGAATGTTTCTCCTGCAAGTTATAGGAAACCTGCCTTAGTTATAGGAAATCTGGCTACACCATAATGAAATTTATTATCCTACACAAAAGCAGGCAGCTACAGAGAAAGAACAAGCTCTGGAGTTGGCTGCTCAGCAGTGGTGCTGTCAAGGACTGTGGTCCTTTTTTGTCTCTTTGTAGTGCCTTCCTCAGGGATGCCTTCATAGACTTCCAGTGTCCTACTCCCCTCTGCTCAGTCAACTCTGTAATTTGGATCTCTCAGTCAGTAGAGAGGAGGCTGCCAAATTTAAGCAGGAAAGTGATTTATTGCAAAGGTGCTAGGAAGCTCTCCGAATCATCAAGCTAACTAGAGAGCCCAGGTCAGAGGAAAGGTATCCACGATTACTCCACATCCTGCTAGAGCAGTGTCTCTACCCTCATGAAGGGGGCCTGCTGGTTAGCTCAGTTGTTTAAATGCCTGTTCATGCAAATGCAGTCAGGCTCAGCATACTGTGGTTTGAACCCCACCTCCACCTGCCTTACCAGACCCACCCTTAAGGCAAGCTGAGCCAGCAAAAAAAAAAAAAAAAAAATCCTCTTACCCTCATGAATATTAGCAATAGCAGCCTGCACATCCAGAGTTTCTGGGGTCATGAGAATATCCGCAGCAGGTTTTGCTCTGTTTCTTTGTACCCTACCTGCCCAGTGAGCCTAGGGTAGAGGCATGTGAGTAGCCAAGCCGGGGTGACAGGCAGAAGCATCAGCTGTAATGGACCTTGGAAAACGGAGTGCCTGGTTTTTCATACAACCCCAGAGTATGATACTTTTGTTTTCCTTTTCTGTTCTGTTTTATGAAATGTGATCCCATGAAGGTAAAAAGAGAGTGTCAATAAAGCGATATTAAGTAGTATTATAACTCAGTCAGGTGAGTTTTTGATAGGGGTAGCAGTTCTGAGAATTGAATGTAGGGCCTTATGTATGCTAGACAAGACAACCTCTGTACCCCTATGCTGAGGCAGGAGGACTGCTGAGAGTTCAAGGCCAGCCTGGGCTACAAAGTGAACTCAAGGCCAACCTGAACTGTATAGTGAAACCCTGTCTCAGAAGGACCAAAAAGGGGCTGGGGGGATGGCTCAGTAGAATAAGTGCTTGCCTGGCAAGCTCCAGGGCCTGAGTTCAAACCTCAGTTCTGCCCAAAAAAAGGACCAAAAAAAAAAAAGAAAGACCAGTAAGATGTAAAGTATGCCCTTAAAAAAGGCCAAGAAAGCAAAACACATGTGCTGGCAGTAGAAGCAATACATGTATATTAGGCAGGCTCTTGTAATGTGTGAAGACTGTCTTAGATGTGATAATGGAAGTAAAAATGATTTTATAGAGTTCTGTTGATATTTTCATTTTACAGTAATTCATATAAGCATTTATTCATTTTTTAGACTCTGTACAGCAAAAAATATTCAATGTGGAAAACTCGTATACTTCTTTAGAAATACTCAATAAATATTAAAAATTCAATACTCAAGGGCTGGTGAGGTACCTCAGCAGTCTAAAGCGCCTGCTTAGGCAAGCTTAGCTAAGCTTTGGCAGGCACAGGGGACCACGATTTGATCTCCGGCACCACATGCCATGCCAGCCAGCCAAAAAAAAAAAATTCAATACTTTATTTTTTCCTGCTAAATACTCATTGCTTAATATAATAAAATTAAAATTAGTAATTCATCAATACATCAATA